AGGACTAACAAAACAAAACCTTGGGATTGACTTGTGTGAGATTCCCGCTTTCTCCTCTGTCTCCACTCCTCTAACCTCACTGTAACTCTGCCATCTGTTTGTCAGGAGTAAAACTCTGTATTTAAACAATCCCTGGTCACCAAAGCCTTTTTTCCCCCGGGGGACCGTGTCAAAGGCCTTCTGGGAGTCAGGGAATGTGCAGTTGATCCACACTCTCCTTTGCTTCCTGACTGCAAACCGTCTTATCACTGTCTTCTATCATGGCTACGTATGTCTAGCTACACACACACAAACACAAACACACACACACACTAAGAATCGACCCCTGCAACCAAAACTAGGTGAGTACACACACATCGTAAATCCCAAAGCAGTCGATGTCAGTTTAATGACTATTGCAAATAGATCTTGTAGCACACTGAAGCACTCTGATCTTCATTTGAGATTATACATACTGACCTTCAACTGAGAGTGACACAATCACTCTCCTGTGTGGCTAATGTTTATATAAACACTCTCCTGTGTGGCTGATTTTTATATAAACACTCTCCTGTGTTACTGATATTTATATAAGCATCCTCCTGTATATATATATATATATATATATATATATATATATATATATATATATATATATATATATATATATATATATATATATATATATATATATATATATATATATATATATATATATATATATATATAATATATATATATATATATATATATATATATATATATATTCAATAAGATCACAGTAAACAGGTGATTTTAGAATATGCAAAACAACCACTGTCAAAGAATAGAGAAATTTCAAGCGCTTTCGTGACTACTCACATTATCAAGAAACAATAAAAGTAATGCATCAAAGGAAGGCATGTAAAAGGTCTAGACCACACCTCACTATCACATCCCACAACAAAGCAACACCTGACGCGCGACTCATAAGAAAGAGAACACTGCAGCAGGCCCACTGGCCCAACTAGACAGGTCCTTCACACAACCCACAAACAAACTATTCTACCCAATAATTAAGAATTTTAAAGTTTATTATTTGTCCAATGTATTGTTAAATTATTCCCAAATTCTATTAATTATAAATGGATCTAATTTATATAAACCAAAGGAAATATTCATATTATTGTCAAAACTGCTTTTTATGAAACAAGATTCAATTATATTTCTGTTGAATTAGACACATGTGCAACTCTTGGGTATCTTTATAGAGGAAACGTTTCGCCACACAGTGGCTTCATCAGTCCATACGAAGGAGAAACTTGAAGAACAGGAGGAGAATGAGGTAATCAGTCCCTCAGCCTTGAGTCGATGTGATCAGTCCATCAATCTTGAATAGAACACGGCATTTGAGCGGAGAAGGAGCTTATAAACCGTAGACAGGTGAGGTGCAGCAGTCGTAGGTGGTGTCACATTTGTCCAATGTGGAAGTAGGTCGTGCCCAAGGGTTAGGCAAGTGAAGAATTCCCAAGTATTAAGATCCCAAGAAGTTGCAGTGTCTGACAGGAATGAATTGGACAAATGTGACACCACCTACGACTGCTGCCCCTCACCTGTCTACGGTTTATAAGCTGCTTCTCCGCTCATTTGCCGTGTTCTATTCAAGATTGATGGACTGACCACATCGACTCAAGGCTGAGGGACTGATTACCTCATTCTCCTCCTGTTCTTCAAGTTTCTCCTTCGTATGGACTGATGAAGCCACTGTGTGGCGAAACGTTTCCTCTATAAAGATACCCAAGAGTTGCACATGTGTCTAATTCAACATGTCGGTTCTGTGAACCATTCATCTACAATTATATTCCTGTAATAAAGTTGGTAGAATTACCGACAATATGTAAAGTAAAAGGACACAAGTGCAACTAATGTGACATTTATTGTGGCAACGTTTCGCTCTCCAGGAGCTTTATCAAGCTTGATAAAGCTCCTGGAGAGCGAAACGTTGCCACAATAAATGTCACATTAGTTGCACTTGTGTCCTTTTACTTTACAATTATATTCCTGTCGACCATGGACTTGCTTGATACTACTTTCTCAACTTTTTGAAAATCAATTGGATGGTTAAAATCTCTTACATGAATAAATAGAGCATTGAAATCTTGTCCAGTTCTAATGCTATATTTATGCTGTTTTAATCTTAGTTCGAGATTTTTACCAGTTTGACCATAATAAACTTTATCGCAAATTTTACAAGGAATCTTATAGACACATCCATCAGCATTTTGGGGGGAATTCTTTATCAAAAGTTTTTTTACTGCATCAAGATTTTTGAATACAACTTTAATATTAAAAGTCTTAAGAAGAGAAGGCATATCAACCAAGTTTTCATGGTAAGGGAGAACCAACATATTTTTAGTTGAATAAGGCTGGTTGTCCCTTTTTGGATTGTAAAAAGTATTTCTAGCAACTTTAAAAGATTTATCAATTACGTTTCTTGGGTATTTCAAATCATTAGCTATTTCATAAATTTTGGATATTTCCTCATCTATGAACTCTGGACTACAAATAGGGAAAGTTCTCAAAAATATGTGAGAGATTTTAACCATCCAATTGATTTTCAAAAAGTTGAGAAAGTAGTATCAAGCAAGTCCATGGTCGACATGAATATAATTGAATCTTGTTTCATAAAAAGCAGTTTTGACAATAATATGAATATTTCCTTTGGTTTATATAAATTAGATCCATTTATAATTAATAGAATTTGGGAAGAATTTAATAATGCATTGGACAAATAATAAATTTTAAGATTCTTAATTCTTGGGTAGAATAGTTTGTGGGTTGTGTGAAGGACGTGTCTAGTTGGGCCAGCGGGCCTGCTGCAGTGTTCCCTTTCTTATGAGTCGCGCGTCAGGTGTTGCTTTGTTGTGGGATGTGATAGTGAGGTGTGGTGTAGACCCTTTACATGCCTTCCTTTGATGCATTACTTTTATTGTTCCTTGATAATGTGAGTAGTCACGAAAGCGCTTGATATTTCTCTATTCTTTCACAGTGGTTGTTTTGTATATATATATATATATATATATATATATATATATATATATATATATATATATATATATATATATATATATATATATATATATATATATATATATATATATATATATATATATATATATATATATATATAAGACCTTTCAGTTAGGGTCACAGATACACAGGTTTAAAAACATAGTTAAAATTTTTACTGATAACATACAATACTTTTAGTAAGACAATAATAAGAGGTGGTTAGTGAGCCTAGGGCCAGAGAGGTGCCACGAACCTCGAGGCACCAGCACTGCCATCTAACCACAAAAGGCACTCGTTTAAGACCTCTCTTTAGAGTGCGTTCTTTTTTTATAAGTGCTATTGAAAAAAAAGGGAGTAATCGAAAGCTGCAAGGGGTTTTTTACTTTCCCGTACTCCTTTTCGTCAGTCATATCTACAAAAAATCGCTGTGTATATGGGAGCCTTCCAGTACTTACTGTAACTCCATCCACACAACTAATAATAACATTAATAATATTTATTTTAACAGGTACATGATGCAACTAATACAGACCATAGCTGACGACAGTGACATACTATGCAGAAAGCCCCTTGTTATGAAGAGAATTTCGGGCAGCTTAAGTTAATTTTGTCTCCAAGATGCGACCCACACCAGTCGATTAAAACCCAGGTACCTATTTTGCTGCTAGGTGAACTGGGATACCATTGGAATGAAGATAATTATCTTAGTAACTATTTGAAATGCATCCTGTACGTTCTTCCTCTTTCGTGGATTTCAGAAGAAAAAAAATTGGGTGGGATCAGGGGGGTTGTGCATATTTATATTTTTGTGACCTGCAAATTATAATTTGCATTGTGTCTGATGGACTTTAAAAGTTTCTGCAGTGTTCCTTAAGTAAGAACCTTGACTAACAATGCTCTCACAGTGGACGTAGGTGTTTAACGTAGTAATAAGACCTAAACATAATCTTTGTAAGCACTTTGTGATGGAACCATCAAAGATAATTAACTCGTCCTTTTACCTTTCAAGACATGGGAATATGTCTCAGGAGACAACAAACATACTAGCCAATACGATGCCTACATACGTCGCTGGAAGCATGTTCAGATATTCTCTGCGCCTGTAAACTGTGCTGACGTCGATGGTCGCAAGAAAGCAAAATGAATGGACAGTCTGACTTTTTTTTTGGGGGGGGGGATGTTATCCTAGGTAATTTTCATATACATTATTATGTGTACCTATACCTGAATAAACTTATTTTGTATGAAGCAATGTTTAATCTAAACTTGCGCGTTGTGTGAGGCATCATGTGTGTTGAAAACGTCACATATACATGACAAGTCTTCCGACATCCCGTCAAGGCCTTGCTTTCCAGACACCAGACCTGATGTTTCGTACGAGTTTGTGGAGACTTCCCATCTCCTGGAGAATGTATGAGCACATTGCATGTTCATAGAAAAAGCTTTAACATTAAATCAGATAATGATAAACACCTCGGCCGCCTCCCACCAAGGCAGGGTGGCCCGAAAAAGAAAAACTTCTCTCAGTGTGGTAGATAGTGACGTTAAGCTTCTCTCAGTGTGGTAGGTAGTGACGTCAAGCTTCTCCCAGTGTGGTAGGTAGTGACGTCAAGCTTCTCCCAGTGTGGTAGGTAGTGACGTCAAGCTTCTCTCAGTGTGGTAGGTAGTGACGTCAAGCTTCTCCCAGTGTGGTAGGTAGTGACGTCAAGCTTCTCTCAGTATGGTAGGTAGTGATATCATCTTCTCTCACTATGGTAAGTGATGCTTATTATTCCTGGGCAGAGAAACATTATACAACACTACAAATGTCTTGCCCCAATCCACGTAGGTAGGAAGAGTGAAGTAAATGCCCCTAGGCAGAAAGATACTGGCATGATCACGAGGGTAGGAACAGTGACGCCCATCCACGTAGGTAGCAGGAGGACTGACTTGACCTCCAAGGAAGGAGGATCAGTGACCTGATCTCTCAG